CCGCCAGTCCCCGCCTCCGCGGCTCGCTGGTCAAAGAGACCCCGCTCCCCTCCTTTTGCTGCAGACGTGTGGGGAGGGGGGTGTCCATGCAGTGAGGGGAAGACTTAATGGGGCTGTGACTAAAGGAAAATCGGGTAGCAAACTCCTTGAGAAACAAAGCCCCCTTGTCTGTGCGCTGCGGCAGCACTCGGTGTTGCTGGTGATGACTACGTGGAGATAAGTGGGCTTGAGTTTTGCCTGGGTGTCCCTTTAAAGCAGGCTTCCCTCTCCAAATGGCATTGCCAACAGTGGTCACTTTGCTGTCAGCCCGGTTACCATCCATTTAGTAATAAGCGTACAGGTTGGGGTTCTTTCAAGGTACATCGTCTACCTCAAATCACCCAGAATATTAAGCCTCTCCTGCTTCTGCTGTGCATTTTATTTAATATTAAACTTTTTTTTTAGTCTGGGCAGGTCAATGACAAAGTGCCAATCTGTGTCCTCTTTTCAGGAAAACTCAATGTTACAAGTGATGTTGTTCAACATGGAGTCGAAGGACTAACGTATCTTCTCACTGAGAGCTCTAAGCTCATGGTAAGGATACGTTCAGGGTAGTAAGTGAAGGGGTGTGGATTTGAGAGTAGAAATTGGGGCGGTGGAGGGAATGGAAAGCTTCTGTATTAATTCTACAAATGCTTTAGCATGGGTTCAAGTCAACAAACCACTTTGGTGTCGGGGAGGTAGAACAGAGAGGGTGTAAATATGATCTTGCTCAGATATAGCATTGCTTGTTCTTGAGTATCCCAAAGCACAGTGTACACAACTTAGTCTACTTCTCTTAACATCTGCATTTTGGTGATTCTGAAATTTAAACTTTACAGCATGGGTGCTTACAGATGTGGGGGGAAAAAAACCGGTGCTTTAGTTTCAGTTTGGCACACCCCCATGCCGAGTACAGCGCGTGCCCAGAAGAGAAATTGCCTCAGTTTGACTAATCGAACGAGTTAACTAATTGAATCAGCTATTGGATAAAAATGCCAAAAAGCCCTGCTGAAGCGCACAAGTTATACAGACGCTGGGGAGCCGGGTCAAACTGATGTGAATCCTCTTCCAGCAAAGCACTGTTTTGGTTCTGCCGCACACCCACTCAACACATCTTTCAGCAGTCCATGTTGACAATACAAAGCAAATGGATGCAACAGTTTAAGATGGGGGAGAAACAATGTATTATGCTTCAAGAATAAACTGTCCAGTTGAAAGCAAAGGGAAACTTACATTTTTTGAGACAGAGCACTTGGACGTTGCTTTCAAGAGAGCCTGGAGTAGTGTAAACTGACGTTTTCCTGGATTATGTTCAGTATATATGGTATTCTTAAGGCATATCTATCCCAGGCAACATGTGGTTTGGCTTGCTTAGCTTGTGAAATTCTAACCAGATATTGTCAAAAGGTGGCATGGATATTGGCAGATATGAAAAGAATAAATGGAAGGTGGATGATAAAAAAAAAAACCCCCAAAAAAAACCATTTTCCCATTGGAAAGATTGCTCACTACTGCTGTCCGAGGATACCTGAATATTGCAAATGCCTGAAGGTAATAAAAAAAAAAAAAGAAAGAAACCAGTCACATAGTAATTAACCTCAGGTAGGCTGGCCTTTTGGTTGAACAGAACTTGCCATGGAGCTCTAGTGCAAAATGACAGCGGTTTTCTTTAAGCACACGACCCCTTCCAAAATTGTAGAAAATGAGAACTGCATCATAATAAAAAGTATAGGTGATCTGGGATGATCCTACCGAACTAGGATGATCCAAGTGAGAAGAACTTTTTGAATTAGCATTACATCAGTTCAGAAATTACAGCCAACAGTAATGTACATATCAATGTATTAAAATTGCATCAAATTATTATAATTTTTCTAATGTTAATGATGCTACACAATTTGTAGTAATGCATTATTAATTGCTTTACTACCTAAAAATGAAGAACATGACAAATATCATATTGAAGAGCAAGTAAAACAGTACCCAGGTCATTCTTTGTTTAGCTCTAAACTGTTACTTTCCAGATTTCTGAAATAGACTTCCAAGACTCTGTGCATGTTCTGGGATTCTCAGAGGACTTGAACAAGTTATTACTTCAGCTTTACCTTGACCATAGAAAGGAGATCCGAAGCATTCTTGGGGAATTGACACCAGAACTACCCAGTTATCATAGCCTTGAATGGAGATTAGATGTGCAGGTAATAAAATTAAATTAAGCATAAATTATATGTTACATAAATTTGATAGCACAGGCTTCTATGAGAGAGAAGGTAAATTGCAAAGCTATTTCAGTGTTTGTTTTAATGCAGTTTGAATTCACTGCAATTTTAAATTTGTATACTATATCAAGGGATAACTTTGTCTGGACTACTTAATTGCTTTTTTAAATCTTTGGCATAAAATGAAATGATTTAATTGGAGTATTAAATACATTGAAGCATTTAATATCAGCGATTTTAATGATGAAACTAGACAACACGTATGAAACTAGACATACACGTATGAAACTAGACATGCATGTGTATGTTCAAAACTCAGTTTGGTTTTTGAATAATATTGCAGAAATGTTGTGAATTCTTAATGTGATACAGGTTTCTCTTGCTTTATGTGTGTTCTTTATATGTGAATTCACTCTTATGCAATGACCCTTTTTACACCCAAAATTCGTTATAGGCAAGGTAAATTCGTTATATACCAGGTAAGTCTGTAGAGGAAGGGGCTGGGGGGGAGGGTTGTGGCACAGCCCAGCGGCTCCAGGCAGGTGGCATTGGCTGCTTCTGGAGCTTCAGCAGGGAGCAAAGTGGAGGGAACTGTCAGTGGGTGCAGGGTGGGTGGGTGTGGCTCTTCATGCTATGCACACCCCAGGAGGGCTGGGGGGCTGTGCCAGGCTCTTCACAGGGGGCATGTGCCCCTGGATCTGTGCGTGGGATGAGAGCAGGCTGTCTTTGTGGGCTGGGGCCAGCAGCGGAACGGGGCTTTTCCCGGTGCTCCGGGCAGGTGGTAGCCTGCTCTCTTCCTGTGTGCAGATTGGGGGGGGGGGGCACGGGCCCCCTGGGAAGAGCCCGGCGCAGTCCCCCAGCCTGCAGCCCCCCTGGGGTGCACATACCAGCAAGAGCTGCACACCCCGCCCACTGACAGTTCCCTCCACTTTGTTCCCTGCTGCAGCCCTGGGTGCAGCTGCACTCCTCCCCGCCCCATCCCTTCCCTAGCCCCAGCCTCACTCCCTCCTTCTCTCCCTGCTTTGGGAATGTATCCCTATTTGTTACCTTATAAACTGGGTTCCCTTTTTGCAAATTTGAGTTATGCACAGTTTTCCGAGAATGCATGATGTACCTCATAAAGGGAGGAAAACCTGTACTGGAGTTCCTAATGCATTTATTCTTTGTAACACTTAGTGTTTCCATATCCCCCTCTCATAATCATCTCCCATACAGCTTGCCAGTAGAAGTCTGAGACAACAGATTAAACCAGCTGTGACTATGAAGCTGCACCTTAATCAGAATGGTGATCAGACTACCAAAGTGTTACAAACTGACCCTGCTACACTTCTTCATCTGATTCAGCAACTAGAACAAGCCTTGGGAGAAATGAAGACGAACCATTGTAGGCGAATAGTACGCAACATGAAATAACATTTAATTGTGACTATCATCTCACTAATACGTGAAATGAGAGTTAAAAAAAAAAGTCAATGTTCACAGACATAGTTTGAAGAAAATAAGCATCTGGATCAGATGAAAACCTTTCCTGTGCCAAAAACTTAGGCCAGTGTTTATAGGCTGAACATCCTTTGGTGATAACTCTACGAAGCTACTTACTGTAAGATCAAATAACTGTCTTATGCTTGAACTGCATTATTGGAAATTCTACATACTGCTTATAGATGCTTTTTTCACTCAAAATTAGTTAACTTACTTGAAGAGCTTCTTTTTTTTTTTTTAATGTAGGGCTGCTTCAGTGTAATTCAAAGTTGCAGATTCATGAATACTTATCAAACAGTGTTTTGGTTGTTTTCCTTCCTTGTTAAAATAAAAAATAAACTAACTAGTTTGGCATGATGTTTTACCAGATTCTTATTTGTTTGATCACTGAAAATAACTTTAAAATGCTCTCCTCTTCCAGACTGGAAGCCAAATTAATATTTCATAGGAAATTTAGTTTCCACTGATTTCAGGAGTAGAAGCAGGATAAAGCAGGAGTTTATTAACATCTTACTGTTTTAACAGTGTAAGGATGTCAATAATATAATATGGTATCGCAACCCTGACTTTTAAGAAGGCACTTACCTACCACAGGAAGGCAGTCAGTAATAGCTTTCTTATGGAATTAGGTGGTATACAAAACTCAGTGGCTGTGCATAAATTAATAACAAAGGTTATCTTAGCAATAGCAAAAATATAATTTTGAACTTAGCAATGACGACAGCTTTCAAAGAAAGCTGTTAAGAAAATGCAATGAAGTGCAACTCTTGCTTCATTCTTTTTTCAGTTCTGATTAAACCATTCTGTGGCTTAGATTTCATATTTACAAGTCGGGTATAGCAGCCTTTGTTTTTCCGTTTCTTCTGCTACTGTGGAGAGAGAGATTTATAATAGAAACATTGACTTAATTATTGCAACACAAATGGTATTACTCTAAAGAAGTCAGTGTCTAATAGTGATGATAAATGCAGAAGTCCCTTCATTCACACTGAAATATAACATTTTATAGCTTTTGTAACTGGGCTGTTAAATATTTTCATTGTGTTGTTTTCATTGTGTTGTTTACTAATGGGAGTGCATTATATATCACAGAACTGTTACTGGAGAGAGGCTCAAAGTTTTGTGCTCCTATCATATTGTCTTCCCCTTCTTCCACAATGATGTGATAAAGACTGCTTCTGTCATATAAAATAAATTTTCTGTTTTCAAATCCAGTTATTTTTGTAGTTTGGACGTATGCTGCTTTTCAAAAGTAATACTTCAAAGGTATGTCAACCCATGATAGTTCTTGCTATTTAAAAAGAAAGCCTCGTTGAAGATGTTTCAGTGTTACCTGTTTTATTTTTAATATTAGTATTCTGGTAGGAGTAGAATAGCCAACAGTCATGGTCCCCTCAGAGTTGTTTCTTCATACAGAACTACTTAAATTTGCTGCCATCTGTGACAGTAGTTTCTAATATATTGAATATTTTGCTACCCATTGTTTAATAAGGCCAGCCAGCTGGTTGTAGAAGGTTTTACTATATCACATCTACAAAGTTCAAATTAGGTTTTGTTAAATTCAGATTAGAGCGTTTATTTGATTGCCCAAAATCCATTCAGTTTGGTCAATTGTAATTAATCTGTGGTTGCTATAATTTGATGTGGGAAAAAACAGCTGATTGGGTACAGATCTTTTTGTGGTCAGGCACTAGACTTTGAATGGATTTGAAGTACAATGTACCTGCAAGAGGGTTAAGCTGGCTTTGCATTAGTGAAGGTGAAATAACATGTGGCCGTGAACCATGTTCATTCTGGTTTAGATATAGTGGTGATTTATAAGGTGTTGGATGGAAAGAGCAACACCATTTCTTCCTTCTAACATCACACCTCTCATATACATGATCCCTAAGAGGGCCTATTATATTGTAGGTCCCTTGAAATGCTTGTGACTCACTATTTGCTAGTGTAGAGAATAAATGCATAAGGAGAAAGACTGTTGCTAAATTTTAGCTTGTTGGGAAGAAAAATATTCAAATTGTTTTGTTTCTGTATGGGTGTATTGTACTTCCTAGATCTAGGGATAGTATAAAGTAGGAAAACACACTGAAGCTTTACTACTTGGTATCTCCATCTTGCTTCTTATTGTAGTAGTTGTTGGTCTTGCTGTTTTTAGAGGACAGGCAAAAATAGTTTATGCTAATTGCAACTTCTTCCTCTTCTCCCTACTGAAGTCTCCCGGCTCAGGCCCTGATCTAAAGTCTACTGAAGTGATTAGGAGTCTTTCCAAAGCACTCTGGATCAGGCCTCAGTTGTCTGATATAATTTGCCTTGTTTCCACGAGGGACTGCAGATGGCTCTTACACCTTTCCATCGTTTTACGCTTGCTAGCACCACGGCCGAAAGAGACTTGGGGATCATGATTGACCACAAGATGAACATGAGCCACCAATGCAGTGTGACAGCAGGCAAAGCAAACAATACTCTGGCTTGCATCCATAAATGCTTCTCAAGTAAATCTCAGGATGTCATCCTTCCACTGTACTCAGCCTTGGTGAGGCCGCAGCTGGAGTACTGCACTGAATTCTGGGCTCCAATTCAAGACGGATGTGAAGAAGCTTGAGAGAGTCCAGAGGAGACCCACACGCATGATCAGAGGGAAAGAGAATAGGCCTTATGAAGAGAGGCTGAGAGCCATGGGACTCTTCAGCCTGGAAAAGCGCAGGCTCGGGGAGGACCTGGTGGCTGCTTTATAAGTATATAAGAGGTGTACATCAGGATCTGTTCACCAGAGCGCCCCAAGGAAAAACAAGGACCAACGGTCATAAACTCCTCCAAGACCATTTTAGGCTCGACATAAGGAAATATTTATTTACTGTCCGAGCCCCCAAGACCTGGAATAGAATCCCTCCAGAAGTGGTGCAGGCACCTACTCTGGACTCGTTCAAGAAGCATTTGGATGCTTATCTTGCTGGGATCCTTTGAACCCCAGCTGACTTTCTGCCTCTGGCGCAAGGGGCTGGATTTGATGATCTTCAAGGTCCCTTCCAGCCCTAACATCTATCAGGACTATCTTTAAAAAGAAAACTGGTCACAGACTGAGAGAACTGACACCAAGATTACTTCAGATACATGCACAGAGTAATGCACGGGGCTAGCTTACAGGTAGGCAACATGATGGGGAGAAGTTTCTCCAGTTCTAATAAATGCAGGCTAACCATTAAATAGGTAGCTTTAGCTCACATGAGGCTGGAAGTTTTGTTTTTGGGTCTCTTTTTTTTTTTTTTTTTTTCCCATCCCTGTCTCTCCACGACATTTGTGGCAGCTGTACTACGTTATGCATAAACTGCACCAACAGAAGACAGTGCTAGTGTGAAGGAAGTTTTAAAATTATACGTGAAACATGTTGGCTAGTGAATGTGCAGCACTAATTTTGATTTTATTCAGTCCCATTTTATTGAATTAATGTTTCAGTTCTGAAGTGCAGATGTAACACAGAGGACAGCACAAGCTCTCAGTGCTAGTACCCCCTGAGCTTTTGGTTAAGTTCAGATTGGATAGGAAATGTTTACAACTTGAATGTAAATCTTACCCAGTACTAGAGCACACATAATGAGGAACTAGTTATAAAATAAACAAGTACAACATTTTCTTTATAACTTTGCTTTGAAGAATTGACCCCTGAATGTATGGAGAGCAAGAGGGCCTTTTCTACTTCTTGCAAATTACCTTTGTTTTTTTACCAATGTCCCTCATTCAAATCCAGCTAATGTTTTAAATAGCCAGTCTTTTTTTTTTTTTCAATTCAGCTCCGGCTTTCTGCTTCTAGCAATACAGAGCTAGTTCTGAGCTCACTTCCGTAGCTTAAATAACAGTGAACAGGAAGAGATCTTGATTTTGTAACATGAATAAAGCCTGACTTCTGCCCAAAAAAGGAAAAATAAGCTTAATAGATCTGGGCTGCCTCATTCACTCAAATACTCCCATTCTAGGCAACAAGACACGAGTGAATAAGGGAGTGAGATTTGGCTCTTAAAATCAGCGTGTATTTATGTTGATGTCATACTTTAAGGGCAGCATTGCATAATATCTCTCTCTTTGGGTAGTAGTATTGGTTTCAGTGGGACTTTTTTGTGTCTTAGTGCTATTGAGCATGAATAGGAGTAATGGAAGTTTGGTTATACTAAAGAGACTGTAAACATTCATAGAATCCAGTGAGTCTTGGGCCCTAATCCATTAGTGCAGTACCGCAGCTTTGTGCTTCTCCACCCGTGCAAAGCTTCAGTAAGGTCGGCTTAGTAACCCATGGAAGGATCACAACATAGCAAAGCAAGAGAGTATCAAGTCCCCATGCAAACTCTTGCACCGCCCTTACAGTCTGCTAAGGCTGGGGAATGACTGGTGGGAAAGAGCAATGGTCAAACTGTCCCTGGCTGCCAGGGTAGGCCCCAAGACCATTGTCAGCCACTGCAACTTGGAGCAGCTGCAAAACCTCTTGTTTTCTGGGCATTAGATTTGCATGTAGCCAAGTGGGAGTAGACAGTGGCTTTAAGCTTCTTTTGTATCCTCCCTCTCTGTCTTTCACTTGTATTCCTTTGTTTTTAAATATAAAAATATTTTGCAATGCACAATATAGTTTTAGAGCTGTTGCTATAGAGAAATCTGTGTGTCACGTGTAATTCATGAAATCAGCTTTGCTTTATGTAAACACACAAAAAGCTTCTGAGCCTAAAATAACTATCTTTTTTTTTAGAAAACTTGTTAAGACTGAGAGAATGCGAACTTGATTTACATATTATCGCTGAATTTAATTATAACTCACAGATAATGGAAGCCTTTAGTAAGAACACTGGTATAAACTTTATAATCAAATAAAAAATAATAATTAAGTATTGATGCTTAAGGCCTTTCATTCAAGAATCTTGAAACAGTTTACAAGCATTAATGAAGTGAATGGAGAGCATCCTGTGGGCAATTTAAGGTCTTGCCACTGTTATGCTCAAAAGCTGTATTGCTATACCATCTTCAAACACAGACCTTTTCCACAGTTTTTCAATCTGATGCATCTAAATTTCACTGTAAGAGATGCTTATGTTCCAAAAGTCAGTATAAATGGCTTCTTTACCAAACAAATCTGTTTCTTATCTTTATTTCAAGATACTGCAACCAGCTTTTCCTGGGCAGACCCATGTACCTACCTTGTCCCCTTGGGGAGGTGGAGGGAAGGTTGTGCAGGTGCAGAGGTCCAACTTCAAAGAACAGCTGGCAAGGTAAAGGACTTGATATTTAAAGCAGGAGTAGATTTTTTTTTTTTAAATAGGACACTAAGCAGGGTTTGACTCCAGCCATCTGCTTCCCACTTAGGTTTATGGTGTTGTTATGTTTCTTTTAACCACTTCAACAGCAGAGGGCAGAAAACTTTCATTTTCTGCATCTACCAATTACAAGCAGTTTTAACTATAAAACTATATTCAGTGTTTTGTGCTCTAAAGAATGGCAGAATCCAGAGACTTGATTGAATATTAGCTTTAAGTATAATGGGTGATGTTGAAATGTTTTTGAGGGGCTATAGTTGACCCATATTTTGGCTTACGTTTCTCTTGGATTCCACAGCTCATACTTGTATTTTAAAATACTAATCAGTGTTATAATTGTTTAGTGCTTCAAAGTGCACTGCTGTTCCTTGCACTCCTCCATAATAGTTTTAAGTCCTTCCTTATTGATCTGCCTAAAGATTTGCCATGGGCCTGCACCATTGCTACTCAGTCTCGAAGTGAGGAAACCTGTATTCTGTCCCTGAGTATATTATGATCATATTGTCCACTGAAGTCTAACTAGAATCCTGTCTAAAAAGATAAAGCCTTTTTTAACTTTAAATGTTAAAAAAACCATAATTTAAAATCAAAATTGGATACTGCTTGTGTGAAACAAACATCCATCAACTGTATAAAAATAAGGGTGTGAAACTAGATTGTATTATTTTTGTTTCAAATTGAGCAGAAAAGCTCCAGGTCTCACTTCTTGTAGTCTTTCAAGACTTGAAATAGGTGGCATGCAATAAAGAAAAAGCTGTTGAGAGAGTCTGGTAAGTAGTCCACCTGCCAAACTGACCTTTAGTTTGTTTGGCTAAAACGTAGAAAAGGAAAAGCAAGCCTTCTTTCTCACCCAGTTAGCTACTGGGTCTGGAGTGTTGTACTAGCCCAGCTCTGTGGAGGCTGCCTTACATTGCTGTTTC